TTCATGCCCACTTGAGCGGCCGTAGCCGCTGAGTCGAAGAGCACCTGCAAATATTTCTGGGGGATTGATTTGCGCAGTTCTTCTTCCGAAACCCACTGCAGCGTTTGGCCTATTGGCTATTTTACACAATAATCTCGTTTTCTTCGGCATCTTCTGGCTTGTAATAAGGGGTTCAAGGATCTCAGTTTCCTCCTGTTGTGCTGTTTCCTTATGACGTTCCGACTGTTGTCTCTGGCGAGTGAAGGAGCCGTTCGGTGATTGCCTAAGTTGTTATAGAAAACCAACATTAATAGTGTGATGGCATCTCCATGGTGGTGGTAAGCCAACAGTAAAGGCCAGCTAATTGACTCGAGAAAGAATAAAAAATTCTCCTGCGCCAGCGTGCGGTTGGTGCGTTCAGTTTGACAGTCTGCCTCCGCGTGGTACGCAGGGGTCATGTTAGGATCTATGTTTCGTCGCTGCATACATTCGCGCTAGGAGGCCCCAACGACTTTGTTTCCTCCGTCAGTAGTAATGCTCTTCGAAAAACCATAGAGACTCCAGACATGAATAGTTTTGTGGTTTCCTGTGTTCTACCGGAACTTGAGCAGGGGATGAAGGAGGAGTACTTACTTAGTATATACATGATATCGTGAGTATATCCACGACAACGTAGATACTGTAACACCCTCTAATTGATGGTAAACCCAGTATAAACTCCATTGGAATATCCGTCCAGATTCGTTCAGAAACCAGAAGGCCCTGCAAGAGTCCTGCTTTCACCGTGCTCCGCAGCTTGTGCTGCTGAGATTCCGGAGGAAGCGCGGATGTCTTCCCCTGCTGCGGGGCATATCCTAAACCACCAAAAGGACTGGAGCCTCGCACGAGTCTGATGCTGGCCCCGCCATGCACTGCTAAAGTGTGATCACTCATGTTGCGCAAAATATCTGTGTGAAGGACAGCTAGGGCTTATAACCTGCGGACTTCATACTTCACCTGGTACACAAGAGGCCGACACCTAGGCTGAACTGCTTAGCCCTTCTCCCGTTAAGCTCATTTTCACGTGCCAGATACCTCTGCTCCCCTTATGTGAAACGACGTGAGTAGCAGGCTAGTGTTCGGTGTTTTTTCAAATCGTTGCCTTGCTGATAGAGCATCACTCCAACTGTTGTGTCGCTGGCATCGTCTTTTAGTGCAAAAGCAGGGAAAACGAGTACTGGAGGCGGTGTCAGCTGCCGTATGAGGCTTCTGGTGGCTGCATCGTGGTTCGCTGTCCAAATAAGCTGCTTGTTCCTTTCAAGTAGATCAGTTAGAGGATCAGGAATGTGAGCGAAGCAGCGCATGAAGTTGGAGCACTCTACCTGAATTGTTGTTGGTGGAAGGGCACTTTCCACCGTTTGGGGAGCCGAAATCGAGCTTGTTTCTGCTCGTTGGTTCCCCCGACAGCGGGTTGCCTCCGCACCCGAAGGCAGATCATAGTTAATCCAAAGCTTTGAGTTTTGATGGGCATTGTAGTACGTTTTTTTATTTTTATGGCAATTGTCCGGCCTGCTGCTGGCGGGCCTTCGATGCTTGCACCTGCCACGACGAAACAGGCGTTGCTACCAAATACAACGCGAGTCGTCGATCGTATCCGAAGGTGGCCGTGAGCGGCAATATGTTTGAAGTAGTTAACGTAAGGGTATCCCCAAAGCAGCTGACCTTCAGTCACCAGGCAGCTTGGGTACGGCTATTCAAGGTCCTAGGTTGCAGGGAGAGGCGGCGGCCTGAAACGCCTTGCAACGCACCCTGCTACAGCTCGTGGTGGAGCCGCATGCATGCGCAACCAGCCCCTACTGCTGCATGCATACTCCTACCAGCTTCACACAGACAATCCTACACACCGAGAGTGCTGGAAAATGTGTGGCCTCCCAACGATTGTCTTCCCCCCGTGCTTAGTGTATACATTTGTGCAATTGCCACGCGGTATTCAAATACCAAAGATTCCATATCTTGCTAAAAATGCTTTTTGTTAGGTTTCAGTTCCTAGTTCGCTGAAATGCTGGTCTGGTGCCGGTGCTCACCGATACATACAAACGACTTCGTCCTCTGTTCAGGGGGGAAAGTGTTTAGATTGGTTGATTGACACTTTTGTATTCATAAAGCAGTATTAATATTACTATAGATCTACGCTTCAAACATAAGCATGAATTGCAACACACTACGGGCTCGTGGGGCTTTACGTGAGCGGTCGTGTGTCGTCTGCATTCGCCCTGACTTGTTGGCTGCAGAGTTTCTGAGATGTGCTGCTAATCCAGAATTTTGCATCATTGATTGTTATTATTATTTAAGAAGATTACGTTGTGCTGTGTTTCTTCTTTGCTGGATCCTGTTTCAGCTGCCGTGCCTGTATTATACTGCCCGCTTCACACACTCGTCAACATGGCTCCTCGTGTGTACATTGTAACGGGTTCAAACAAAGGCATTGGCTTTGAAACGGCCAAAAAACTCTGCAAAGAACTCAAAGGCCAAGACGCAGTGG